CCTAACCTTATGTGACAGGGGACAGTCCAAATGCAGGTACATTAAAAATACTTTAAAATCACTTTAAGTGTATATGTACAAGGTGTATATGAAACATACAATAAACTTCATGAGCGTGGATCCTATCCTATTATTTATATGTTAATATTCCAAAACATCTAAAACATGCATGGCTCTAATCATTTCATAAGAGATATCCAACCTATATGAAATTTAATCAAGCAGGAATCAAATACTTTTGTTTAATAGTTCAAATGTGTGCCGAGCATGGTGGCACATGCCTTTAATCCATCACTTGGGAAGCAGAGGCAGGTGGATCTCTGTGAGTTCAAGGCCACCCTGGTCTACATAGTGAGTTCCAGGACAGCCGGGGCTACAGAGAGACCCTGTCTCAAAAAAAAAAAAAAAAAAAAAAAACAAAAAAAAAAAAGTTCAAATGAACTAGCATGTAAAGTTGCTTAAAGAAAAAAACTACAAAAAAAAAAAATTTCAGAAAAAAACAAAAAAAAAAAAAAAAAAAAAAAAAAGACAGAAAAAAAATAGTTCAAATGTACTAGCATGTAAAGTTGCTTATAGAGAAAAACTGCAGAAAACAAAACTTTCAGAGAAAATACTAACAGAAATACTCCATTTAAATATATATATGGAAGGACATGGTAGATGGCTCAGTGACAAAAGTGTTTGCTGCACAAGATGAGGACCTGAGTTCAGATCCCCAGCACCTATGTAAAAGTTGAACATAGTGGCGTGCATCTGTAACCCTAGCACTAGAAGGGGAGGGGCAGAGACTGGTGGGTCCTGGGGCTTGCTGGCCAAGTCAATCAAGCTGAAATAGCAAGGTCCAAGTTCACTGAGAAACTCTGTCTCAAAAAATAAGGTGAAGAAGGGATTTAAGAAGACATCCAGCTGTTAGCCTCTGGCCTGCACAGGTGAGAGCACCCTTACACACATACACACATGTATATACCATATGAATACACACATATATGTGTGTGTGTACATATATATATTGCTTTCCATATGTATGGAAAGCATGCATACACCCCTAATGGATTAATTTTAACACTGCTAATTCCCAATATTAACTGAACCAATTTAGCAAACATTAAAATCTCTAAAGCAGTTTAATTTCTAAAGCAGCTGGTATTATTTATTTATTTATTTATTTATTTAATGTGTACAAATGTTTTTACCTGCATGTATTTAAGTGCACCCGTGTCATGCAATGCCCACAGAGGCCAGAAGAGGGCACTGGATCCCCCTTGGAAGTGAAGTCAAAGATGGTTGCGAGACACCATGTAGATGCTGGGAACCGAACCCAGGTCCTCTGCAAGTACAGCCAGTGCTTCTAACCTCTGAGCTGTCTTTCTAGCCCTCCGAAATACATTTTAAATTATGCTCCAGTTCTACTTCTTGGAATGCTTTGTAAAGTGAGTGTCAATAAAAGAGGTTCTAACAGCACCAAGGACTGTCCATCCTACTAAGGCACTAATCCTGATGCTTCTGAACAAGCTGTTACAGCAATATGCATATAT